CATTTGAAGACCCACCTATGTTTGAAGATGAAGAAGAAGATAATAGTGTCAAGTTGTTTTTCGAATAATACAGGAAAAAGTTTGAAAAGGTACAAGCTATAACTGATGAAGTCACAAATCAGTGTGATTTTCATACAAAAGCCCACCAGCCGTTTGATTTACCATTAGTCTCAACACCTGAAGAGGGCATGAAGAAGATCAGTCATGATGATGGAGCTACTGAGGTAGGTTTGGGTATTGAATATGAGTTGGGAAAAGATGATTACATGCTCCAAGAGGGTGGAGGTGAGGTAGATGATGTCCATAATGAAGAAGTCCCACAAGCATTCGGATGTCTTTGATGCATGGATCCCATGGAGCATAATGATGATGCTCCACAAGCAAGAATTCCCCTCTTGTACACATGCACCGATCCACTCTCACGTGATTTCAGATTCGGATGTCTTTGAATCACTCCTTGATGATGATATTTCTTTATATGCGGAGAATGACAACATCATCCAGGAAGAAATTGATAAGAACTATGTTAACAAGAGTTGTGATGCCTTCATGGGGAGTGATACAGAGTCCAGAAGAGAGGTTGTGAATTTTCATTATATTTGGGAGGAAGATGAAGAATTTTCTATGTTGCAGTTCGATTATGGTGTTGCTCCTAATTCTTGCTTTGAAACATCTCTTGAGCTTCCAGTGACACCTAGAGTAATCAAAGTTTTCACTCATGTTCTTTGTCCGCCCGAAGAGGATGAGAGTTTCATACTTCACTTCTATGCTGATGAGGATTATGATGACCATGTGCTGCCTACGTGTACTCGAGAATTTAAAGGTCTGCGACACCTAATGGAATTTGTTGAGAGGAAGTTGGAGACGTTGATTATTAGTGCACCACTCCAGTCTTTGCTATTGAGAGCCTATGTGGTAGTTGCGTCGGGTAAACGACGTTAAAAATAGCGCTTCTTGGGAGGCAACCCAAGTTTAATTCCGCACTTTTGTCTTTGTTTGTTTGCTTTCAAGAAAACCCCGAAAAAAAAATCCGGGGTGTTTTCAGTTTTTGTTTGTGTGTTTGTGTGTTTTGTTTTTGCAACTTAAGGTCTTGCTTTGGGGATGATATGTCGAGAATCACTTGACTCAGTTTAGTTCTGCACCAACCAACGCCTTAGGGAAGTTTCTGCGACTCTTATAAACGCCTATGTGTAATGTTGACTTGAGTTGAGATTGAGCATGCGTGACCCTTTCCTCTTTACCCCTTGTGCATAGTGCATTTTTTGTCATCGAGGGCGATGCCAAAGTTTAAGTGTGGGGGAGTGAATTGGGCATTCGGGCAGTAGTTGTTACATGAGATTAATTCGGTTAGCATGCGCATGTGTTAGTTGTATATTCATAGAAATTTCATGTCAAATTTTTGAAAATTTTTCTTTAAACTACGTCTTTGTGAGCTGGCTAGCGTTTTGACTATGCTTTTAGAACATCTTAGAAGTTTTTAGGCTTAAATTCCTTTCATGGCAATCTAGTTGTTGAAAGGATGAAGGCATTAGTCACCCATTGAATCGTTCCACAAATCATCCACCTCACCTGAAAAAAAGTCCTTTAGGAGAAGTCACTTTGAGCCTGACCATTTATTCTTTACCCAATTAATTGAGCTCCATAGCCAAATGACCTGTTTCCTTACCCGTGAATAAGTCTGACGAAGTCTTGATGTTTAGGGAACTAGGGGATTAATTTGTTAAGTTAAGGGAATTTTGGTAGCAGTCATTTTTTGGCACTGTTCCTATGCCCCAAATGAGGTAAGAGCAGTCACTTTTTAGGAATTTGATATTTTCGAGGATTGCATTGTAGGCATGGATTCACCTTGATTAATTGAACTTTAATTGCTAATTTTCCTTGGTGAGTCCGAGATTAGAATGTGGTAATGTCTAGTAAAAATCTGAAAATCGAAAAAATTAATATAGCTAGACCTCTTACCTTGCGAAAAAAAGAATGGGAGACCCAGTCAAAAAGCGTAAGTGTTCTGCACAATAAGATGAGACTTGGGGATCTTTCGAAAGGAATGGCGTTCTCGTGCCAACATGACAAGGAAAACTGATCTTAATTAATTGAACTTGGAGGCTATTGCAAAATTAGCATTAGTCCTTCGTGTACTTCAAGTATACGTCAAAGCACCAATGTGTCGCGGCGGTTTAGCTTAGTTGTACATCATGTCTACTCTTTGCATAGGTTTAGATGATTGTTCCTAAATTGTGGCCTATTGAGTTCCTTGATCATAAGAATAGCCTTGAAGTTCCTGAATGCATTAAGTTTTTGTCAGATTATTCCAAAACTCTCAAAGAAAGGGATTTTTATTCTTGTCCATCCACTATTCACCATCACCTTCACAAGTCCTTCTGATCAACAACTAGTTTATTTGTGTATGCTGTCATTACTTCAAGGATGTTGTGAATAATTTTGTTAGTCAGAGTACAAAGATGTAGTTGGGGAAGAACTTTCTTAATATAGTCTGTTTGTTCTGTGAATATCCCTTTAACTACCTGTGCGTGCTGATTGTTTTAATTTCGTGTGGTGATTATCGTAAGTCACGATGTTCAATTTGCTTGAGGACAAGTAAACCCTTAAGTGTGGGGGAATCTGATAAGTCCATATTTAGACACGCATTTCATGCATGTTGGGATCAACTTTTGATGGTTTTCCTGGCTTTAAGGTGTTACAAGTCTCAATTTTAGCTCAAGGTATGTTTACCGGACGTTGGTTCGAGTTTTGTGTCATTTGGAGTCAAAATGAGGATTTTAGAGTTCGGCACCGGTGCTTGAGAAGATATCAGGATGAGTTGAGAAGCATTCGAGAGTGATTTGAGAGCTTTGGAGGTCACCGGGAGGTTCACGATGAAGATTTTAAGGAAAAAAGAGCTATAGGATTGGCTACGGGATCAAAAGAAGATGAATGGAGCTTGAAATCGGCGATCAGGATGACCTTCTGTCAATCGTTCAAGCATATCTCTTTGTATAAACATTCAATGTACACGATACAAAGTCCACATGCAAGATAACTTCAAGGGCTACAAATAATATGAAGACACCTTTGCTAGAATCTGAGATAAAGAAGGTGAAAACACACGATGAAGTCAGATAATCTCTGATGCAATTTTAGAATGATACCTTCCACCGTTTTGATCATATCTCTTGATTGAATGATTCAAATAACATTCGGCAAATTGGGGTAGATAGAGGACTTCATTATCTACAACTTGCATTAAGGAATCATTACCAAATTCGGAAGTTAAGCAGGCACGATCGTGACCTCAAAGTCAGGCACGATCGTGCGTGAAGAGAAAGCATCATGAAGCTACTGCCAGGCAGGCATGATCGTGCCTGGAGGGAGACACGATCGTGTCTGCCCAAAATGAGTGTTTTTGCTCCGGAGGCACGATCGAAGGCACGATCTTTCCTGGCACCGTGCTTGCCTCCAAAAATCCCAATTTAGCTCAAATTTTACCCGATTTTTCTATTTAAACAGTCTGTAAACCCCCATTTTCAGGGGGATCTTAGAGAGAGGCCTAGGGACGAAATTTCTTCTACTTTTCCATCTTGTTCTTCAATTCCCTTGGATTATTTGTAAGTTCCATCTTTTTAATTAATCACAATTAATTATATTCTTCCCAATTCTGTTGATTCTTTAATTATGAGTCGGGAGTAGTTTTAATTAGGGATTTGGGATTGATGAAGGGGTTGATCATGATGTATGGCTAGATTCTTGATGGTTTAATTGCATGAATGCCGTTTAATTTGTGTTTGAATAATTTAATTGATATCTTTTGTAACCTGGAACCGCGGCTAGAATTACAATTGCTTATAGAATAAATTAAGAGATATCTAATTTATTCTAGGACACATTCACACACACTTAATCGTTCGCTAAGAGATTAGTAGCGATTCAGGGGCCGTAAGCTCGCTCGTCTTGGCAATAATTTAGGATCCTGTCGCATGAGAGATCAGCCTGGTCCCCTAAATTATTGTACTCTACGCCACGAGAGCGGTAAGAACTTAGTAATGATTAGCTAGGCTTAATTAAATTAAATTCATGTAATTAGGCATGATCTACCAGAAATTTGATTACCTCGGAATCAATCCATGTTCCCTTCGTCATTAATTAAGAAGAACCCAACCTTTTATTTTAATCGCTCATTCGCTTTAGTTTAATTTCAATCCAACCAACCAAATCTCGCATGACACATTTATTTTATTTATTTTTAATTGCTGAATTTATTTAATTTCTAATTCCATTTTACCGTCCCTGTGGAGACGATAGTCGTACTTTCAACCACTATTCTACGATTTATTTTAAACGCGAGAAAACTCACATCAATTATCAATGCACTTCTTTACATTCTCATTTTCCAAATCAGCATCAAATAGTGTCTGCAAATCAGCAAAGTAAAGGGAATATAACATGAACATTGAGAGATCATGTGTTGCACCATATCGACCCATACAGAACTATAGTGAGTAGAAAATCATCTCTTTTTAAGAACACTATAATTTCAATAAAATTTGGCAGCAATAACTAGAAGTTAGCTCATTGCAAAGATAATACTACCAACAACTTCTTGTCTTTTCAACAATCTACATGTTTCTCTTCCTACATACTACCTCTATAACACAAAGATCTTCCCATTTTGACTTCTCACGGTCTTCTAAGTTGAACTTTGACTCTAAATATCTACATATCTATATTTATAAAATTCATAATAAATTAACATTCAAATAATATGTTTTACATTGAGGTATATGAAATAAATTTTTAATCATAACATAATGTGAGTTTTGAATAATTAATGGTCAAAGTTTATAAAGTTTGACCCAAAATAGTCAAACTGAGAAGATTCTAGGGTTACGGAGGTAGTACTTAATATACACACCCACCAACAAGCACTACAGGTTTTATAAATAACACATATCCACCAAATTAATCAAATATTCATATATTCATATAATTATATATGGGATACTAAATTAAGAGCATTGCATGAATTGGAAAACTGCATATGAAAAGTACAATTAAAGTGTAGAGATGTGCCCTTCGGATACAATAATTAATAATTGTAATTACATGATGTGCTACTTGGCCAAATTAAACAAGATAAACTTTAATTATGAAGACTTACAAGAAGTTTATAACGAAGTGGTGCCCTCACTTCTTCTGGTACAAACCTCCATTCTTTGTATTTTAAGTCTCATTGCGTTCGGACGATATATCCAATTTCATTATTGAAAGCCTCTGCATTAGCGCATATTGTTTTCAGAAGGTCAAAGTCAAACTCTACCGTCAATCTTGTCTTGGCGCTTTTCATTGCTTTTCGTGCACCTTGGCTACAAGTTTTTCCACGCACATTTGACCCTTGTGATATAGTTTCATTATTACCAGATGATGCTTGGTGGGTTCCTAGAGATTGAGCTGTAAATTAAAATACATTACACGTTATCTACATTACAAAATTATCAATTGAAGTATCGGTGTAAATAAATATTCAGAGAAATTGAAATAACTAAAAAAATAGAATATTAAATTGGTAAGTGTTGTCACTAAACCGGAAACAAAATATAAAATACAAGTGCAAAGAATGTACTTCATATGTCAGTAAACTAAACTAAATACTAATAGGTCGTTTTATACTTAAAGATTTGGATAAATTCTCAAATTATAAACTCATTAAAAAATAGCAAGTACAAAGAATGTGTTTTTTACTTACCAGGTTGTTTCGTTAATGCTCTAGCTACAAGTCAACATAAGACATATGGAGTATATAAATAAACATTCATAGAAATCGAAATAACTAAATTAGATGAATAAAGTACACTATATAGTAACAAGGATCTGAAATATGCTTATTGGTGTAAATTCCTTCTCAAAATATAAATTCATTAAAATATGGCAAGGGCAGAGAATGTGTTTTTTACTTACTAGGTCATTTTGTTGGTGTTCCAGTTGCTTGTGGTGCTTCAATAGGTTAATTTTTTTGTATGACAAGTCAACGTAAGAAATAAGGAGTATATAAATATTCATAGAAATCAAAATAACTAAATAAAATGAATAAAGTGGTAAGTGTTACTAGATATTAAAAGTAACACATTGAAACTAGCCATGTTTTGGATATTATAACACTAAATACGTGTTACTTACCGGGTCGTTTCATTAGAGCTCCAGATACGTGTGGTGCTTCAGTAGCTATATTTTTTAGTAAGACACGTAAGACATATGTAGTATATATTTATAATAATAATAATAATAATAATATAACAATAAGAAGAATAACATCAATAATATTAATGATAATAACAAAACCAAAGTTAATAATTGTGTATTTTACTCACCAGATTGAAGTTTTTTTGCTAAAGATGAACTTGCAAGTGAGTCCCTACCATGTCCAACACCACGGCTAACTTGTCCACCATATCCATCCCGTCTTGAACTAGCCATGAGAAAACTGTCAAAGAAAAAAACACATAATTATGGAACAATTACAACAACAACAATAACAAAAGTAATTTTCAAATTTCTTTGATATGAGAAAACCTATGATTGATTTCATGTCATGTCATGCCATAGTTTCCTCATCACTCAAGTTCGGTTCCATTTCATCTGAATCATTGTCACTCTCGGAATCTAAAGTCATATCATGGTTAAAGAAAAGGGAACCATCATCATAATCTTCATTATCGTCATTATCTTCTAATGAATCTTCACGTCCAATAGCAGTAGACTTTTGATTACGTAATTTCTGGATAACTTCATTGGGCAATGTTTCAGGTTTCAAATCTTGTTGAACTAACATAGATGAATCATGTATCTCTTCTGTTGGATGAAAACGTGGCAGCTCACTCGCATCATCTTCCTGAAATATCACACTGCTACCATTCTGATCATCATCATGCTCAGGTACATCATATATGTGCCGGTGACTCACTTTTTGTACAACCATCCAATTCTTGCCTAAAGCGCGATTTTGCAAATAAAACACTTGTTGTGCTTGTGCAGCCAAAATAAATGGATCTTCAGCATACCAATTTGACGATGTGTCAATAAAGGTCAACTCATGATTAACCACCATTGTTTTCCTCTTTGGATCAGTATTATACCACTTGCAACGAAACATGAAAACCTTCTTTCCAAGGATAAAATCGAGTTCTAGAATTTCATGTAATACACCATAATAAATGTTATCACTATGATCATCACGAGTACAGACTCCGCTACACTGTGTCTTAAACTTATCATCTCGTTCTTTGCATCGGAACCTAACACCATTGACTATACAACTCTGCCAAATTGTGTAGCGATCATCTGGTAATTGAGACAAAGAATACAAATCGTCTGTAGCTTTTGGATCACCTTTTACTCTAAAGACGGCCATCTGAAAACCCAATATAAAAAATATAAAATCCAAAATTATTTAAAACATATTCAACATTAAATATACTCTAGTTTTTTTTACCTTGTTTTTAAACCAAGAAGGAAATTCACGTCTTTGTATGTTGTCCAGGTCATGTGAGTGTACATTTGTCAAGTTCACAAGCTCCTTATGCTCACTAAATTGATTAGATGATTAGTTATACCTTTTTTTTTCATTTTCATTTACCCCAGTGCCGCAAAGGCTCCCACCTACGGTGGGGTAAGGGGAGGTCGGATGTACGCAGTCTTACCCCTGTACTAAAGCACAGAGAGACTGTTTCCGGATGACCCATAGTGAAAATCCCGTCCAAAATTGCATGGACTGACTGCTGCTTCATGACAAAGAAGCGCAAACAGTTTAGTGAGCCATTTTGCTTTATTCCATCATTATCTCAAGCCAAAAAATAATGAATCTTTGGCTCCATTGCAAATGATGGAAAATGATTAGTTATACCTAATTAAAATAAATAAGTATGGAGAAATAATGTTATAATGCTAAACTCACTTTATGTAATCATCAAGTTCTTCTCCATAGTTGTTAAGAATATAGCATTGCACCACGTTGCCATAGACTCCAAGATTTCCAAATTTAGCAGCCCCAAGTGTACGCATCTTGTTCTTAAACACGTCTATCTTATACTCTTCTGTAGATACATCCCAATTACGTTCTGGACGTGTAAATCTCATCTCAACATCATTCAAATATCGAGATAAAAATGTAACAGCCTCGTCAACCACATATGCTTCAGTAATAGATCCATCAGGACGGGCATAATTACAGACATAACCCTTATACGTGCCCATACGTCTTTCTATTCCAAACATCCATCTTGGAGGGACTGAACCTCCCAATAATGCTTGTTCAGGTAAATGCACACATAGGTGAATTATGATAGTAAAGAAGGACATTGGGAATATTTGTTCCAATTTACATAATATGATCACAATCCCATTCTTCATGTCCTCTAGTTCGCTTACATATAGAGTCTTGGTGCATAATTTTTGAAATAATTGGTAGAACTCTATTAGTGTGGTACGTATTTTCTTATCAAAGAATGCAAGAATTGCTACTGGTAATATCTTTTGGAGAAGCACATGACAATCGTGTGTCTTCATTCCTCCAAGTGTATTTGCATCTGTCACACAACGATTGATGTTGGAAGCATAACCATCTGGGAGGCGAACTGTTTTTAATAAAGTCACAGAACTCTTTACAATCATCTTTACTCAATGTATATTTAGCATGAGGTTTTTCATATTTTCCATTACGTTCCCGCAACCATAATTCTCTGTGAATGTTGTGATCCTCCAAATCTAGACGTGCTTTTAGAGTATCTTTTGTTTTCAGAGGATCATTTAACAAGGTCCTAACAATATTATCGCAAACATTTTTTTCAATATGCATTACGTCAAGATTATGACGCATCAACAACTGTGACCAATATGGGAGTTCAAACAAGATGCTTTTTTTAGACCAATTCAACTCATTAGCCCCACATTTGCATTTTCGATCTTTATTATTAGAAGCTTTACCAGGAGTGCATGTATGAACATCAGCAAGCTGTCGTAAGATGTCAAGGCCAGAAAATTCACGAGGTGGTCCCCTTTTCTCTGGCTTTCCATCAAATTCTTTACTCTTTCTCCAGGAATGTGCACTGCTTAAAAAGCATCGATGCCCTGTATAACATTGTTTCCCCTTATATTTGTTTCCATTTTGTATCCTCAAGACACACTGGACATGCTAATCTCCCCATAGTACTCCATCCAGATAAGTAAGCATAAGCAGGAAAATCATTAATTGTCCATATAACTGCTGCTCGAAGAGTAAAATAGGATTGAGAATACTCATCATATGCTTGGATCCCATCTGTTCACAAAGTTTTAAGCTCATCCACTAGTGGCCTTAGAAATACATCAAAATCCTTACGAGGTGACTTTGGACCAGGAATCAATAATGCTAATAGATAGTTACTTTTATGCATCATACACCACAGCGGCATGTTATAAGGCATCAAAATTACCGTCCACATACTATGTGTCGTTGACATATTACTAAATGGATTGAACCCATCTGAAGCTAACCCCATTCTTATATTTCTTGAGTTTGCAGCAAATTCTGGGTACAACCCATCAAAGTGCTTCCAAGCTTTTCCATCGGCGGGATGACGTAGAACTTCAGGTTCTTCCTTACGCACTTCGTTATGCCAGCGCATGTCTCTCGTAGTGTGACGTGAAACATAAAGTCGTTTCAGACGTGGACTCACGGGAAAGTATCTTGCCCTCTTATGTGGAATCTTATTCAGAATGTATCTACTACAATTACATATAGGACATGTGATATCATATTTATGGTTGCCATAGAACAAGACACAATCATATTGGCAAACATCAATAAGCTCCTAACCTACACCAACGTCACACAGTAACATCCTAGTCTCATAATAGTGTTTTGGACAATTATTACTTTGAGGGAGAACCTCCTGGAGCAACTTTAACAACATCTCAAAAGAACTATCACTCCACTTATGCATGACCTTTATATTCATCAGCTTCACAATAAAGGTCAATGTCGAAGATTTAAGACATCCTTCAAACAACGAATTATCTAAAGCTTCATATAACTTCTCATAATGAACCTCTTCTGCTATGGGTGATTGATTTTCAGAAAAATCAGAAGCATCCCCAATATTGAAATATTGATTACCGAATGCATCATGTAAACCTGCTCGCAAACCATCAAATTCATCGTCTTCTAATTCTTCATTACCAACACCTTCATTATGAGACGGGTCTTCATCATGATATACCCATTGTACATATGACTGATCAATTCCTTTAGATATCGAATGAGATCTGATAACATCAATAGGATGAAACCTTGAATTAAGACAGTCACGACAAGGACGTGGTGTCAATCCATTGCCATCTAGGTTCTGCTTGGCAACATGAATGAATTCCTTAATCCCAGCCACATATGCTGGAGCAATCCGATTTGAGGTCTTCACCCACTCATGATTCATGATATACGAATCTATACTAATAATGAAAAATTAGAAACACTAGTTCAAAAAAAGTATCACATTGATCTTAGTGAGGGCACTTGCCCCCAATAAATTAGCACATTCACCTTAACAAATTAGCACACCCATTACAAAAAAATAATAGAAAGCTTTGCCCCCAATAAAAATATGTAATTGCCCCCAATAAAAAGCAAAATTGATTAACCCACAGCCCCACAAACACATCAACAGACTAAAAATTATTACAGTATATAAGTATAGTACCTTCTATTGTGTTTATCAAAGTTCAGCCAATGTTTTACCATGATTTTCTTCAATTGTAAATTTTCACTTCATATACATGCTGGTTTTTAACATTCTTATTTAGAATTAAAAGTACTTCATCTGTTTTTAAATAAACCACTTGTTTAATCCTCCCAATAAAAAATCCTCTTTATTAAAATCTGCATTCCTATTAATTTACTTTATTTGGGTGAAAGTAGAAAATTTTAATTTGCACATCATATTTACATATAAAAAAAAGAAAAACGAAAAGTGGTAACATACGAGTATAAATCTGAAGATATCATCAAACATTTAATACTTTAATAGAAATTCAAAATCAAAACCATCCTTTAACAACAAAAGACAACCTCTTACTAATCTTTTTATTATTAGGCTAAAGGGTCAAATAGGTACATGAACTAACTTAAAGTGTTCAATTAGCCCCTTATTTAGGAGATTCTGTCCGGCCATCGCCAATTGGGGCGATTCCCGATGGAATTTTTTGATGAAATTTTTTTAGCATCTTCTTCATTAAGTCTAGTTTATTCATATCAAATTTCAGCTAAAAATTAAATCGGGAAGGCAGTCAAATGATTTTCTGAAATGTACTGCGCTGTTTAACTGTGCAGTTATCTTCAAAAAATCATTTGACTGCCTTCCCGATTGAATTTTTAGCTGAAATTTGGTATGGGTAAACTAAACTTAATGAAGAAGATGCTCAAAAAATTCCATCAAAAAAATCCACCGGGAACCACCCCAATTGGCGACGGCCGAGCAGAACCTCCTATATATGGGGCTAATTGAACACTTTAAATTAGTTCATGTACCTATTTGACCCTTTAGCCTTATTATTATATAAGAGTTTTTCCTGAATACCATTTCAAAAACCATAATTTTATATTAAGTTCGAGAAGTAATGTATGTAACGGTACTCATTGTTACACACATTCAAAGTCTATACTCTATACACACTTGTTTAGATAAATCAAACTAACATCTTGCCCCCAATAACCTTTCGGGTTGGATCCGCTACTGAGCATTTATATGTGCTTCAAAATTAAAGTATGAAAATAAGTTTTGAAAACTGACCGGCCTGTTGGAATTTGGATTGAAGGGAGCTCAAAATAGTTCCTCAGCCCTGCAATAGAAATATAACAATAATTTTTGAGTATAAATTAGAAAATACTTGATGAAAATCAAACATTAAGAGGATGTACATTTTTAGTTCCATTCACTCCATTACATTCTATTTAGCCAGTTTCTTGGCCAGATCTATGCACACATTGGTCTCTATCAGAAAATCTCAAAATCCTGAAGCAAATTTGGAAGAACTGAAGCCTTTTTTCAAAATCTCAAAATCTCAAAATCCTAAAGCAACAAGGAAAGCAACTCTAACCATCAGGCTCTTTTTTCTTTCTAAGGTAAAATCCAAAAATGAACCAAGGTAATCTTCGCATTTGCATAAATGAAACAAAAAATGACTGCAGGGCTCTTAACTAGTATATTGATGTCAAGCCTCAAGAATAAAAGACTATTAATATAGCATACTCAGAGCAAGCATTGGGCATATTCATAGTTTTGCAATTACGAGTGCTTCAAAAAAATTTACAACTGTTGTTCATTGCTCTATGTATTTATCATTGAAACAACAATGCGCACATTAATATACTTTTATTAAAAATTAAGTTAAACTTTTAATAGTGGGCTCTTTATTTAAAAGTTTAACTATAGAAATGTACTCTTGTAAAGAGCAACCAAAATAGATTTATTCACGTTTTTTAGATGATTAATGTTGGGTGTGTTTCGAAAAACAAAGAAAATTAATTAATAGAGATTAATTAAATAAAATGACTTAAAGAAAAACAAGAAATGAGATGAAGCAGAATAAGTCAAAGCTCGTGCTACGCACGATTTCCTTAAAATGTATTTGTTGCCTTCCGGGGTGCTCGGAGCGTTGCAACGATCGTTTCCCAGGATACGATGACTTCGAACAATAGTTTAGCACTCAAACTAAAGTTCCAACGAACGTGAACAAAAGCAGAACACCGAAGGAGTTTGTATGGAGTGCTAGAGGTGCTGTTTTAGCTATGAAAATACGTGAACGAAGTGTATGAAAAAGATTGTGTCTTTGCAAAGCACCTACTAGCCTTTTATAGGGGTGGATTAAGGTGTGTTAATGGCTGTTTAAGGGTTATGATCGTTGGACATCAATGTCCTAAACGTTGGGCATTGATTCCAGTCCTTAAACAACCCAAAACGTTCATATGAACGTTGGGACATCAATGGCAGCATATAGACGTTGGGCATTTATGTGCATGGAGCAAAAATTAAAGTAGGAACGTACCGGAAGAACAAAAATTAACGTTATCTTTAGAAGATAGATTTTCGGACGGCATTCGTGTGTGCAGGTCGCCCGCACACGCAAGTCGCGGTTTTTGTTCTTCGATTTCGGGATTTGATTCGCACCCCCTTGCGCGCGTGAGAGAGCCTTTCCCTTTAGGAATCTTAACTCCTTAGGGGGGGTTTCCCTTTATAAAGGGTTCAAATTCCCTTGTGATTTTCGGTGTGGAAAAGAACCCACACTAACCCACATTTTCCTAGTTTTCTCCATTCCAACGGGTAAACTTCGAAAAACAATTTCTCAAGGAGGGAATTTGTGAAGAAGGAGGTCGCCATGCTCCTCTCTATCAAGCACATCAAGGAGGTGAAGTACCCCTCATGGCTGACAAACGTGGTCCTCGCACAGAAACCACCCTCATTCCGCATGTGCGTGGACTACACGGATCTCAACAAGGCGTGTCCCATGGACCCCTTTCCTTTGCCAAATATTGATCAACTGGTGGATGAAACCGCGGGGTGTGAAATCATGTCATTCCTCAACGCATTCCGCGGATACCATCAAATATACATGCATGAGGAGGACGCTGAAAAAACAGCCTTCATTACTCCCGAGGGCATCTTCTGCTACCTTGTCATGGCCTTCGGCCTAAAGAACTTAGGCGCCACCTACACTCGGATGGTGGCCAGAGTATTTCAAGCTGTCCTAGGGCGCACCATGGAGGCATACGTTGACGATATGATCGTCAAAAGCAAGCAGTCAGCAAACCATGCTGACGACCTGAGGGAGATCTTCGCCATCATGCAGAAGTTTAGCCTTCGGCTGAACCCGAAGAAGTGTACCTTCGGCGTCCGGGGGGGGAAATTCCTGGGCTACATGGTTAGCCGAATGGGTATTGAGGCCAACCCCGAGAAAATCCAGGCCATCATCAACATGGAGCCCCCACGCAACGTGAAGGAGGTCCAACGGTTGACGGGCCGCCTGGCAGCCCTCAACCGCTTCTTATCAAAATCGGCGGAGAAGTCTTTACCCTTCTTCCAGATCATGAGGAAAACAGCCGGTTTCCAGTGGACTTCAGAATGTCAGGGGGCGTTCGAGGAGCTGAAACGATACTTATCTTCATCCCCTGTGCTCTCTAAACCCAAGGTAGGGGAAATCCTGTACCTCTACTTGGGTGTTAGCCCGGCTTCCATCAGCTCTGTACTCATCCGGGAAGAGGATGGCATCCAACATGCCATCTTCTATGTTAGCAAGACCCTCAGCGAAGCGGAGCTCCGGTACTCCCCCATGGAAAAAACGGTGTTGGCTATCGTGTGGACCGTCAAGAAGTTGGGCCATTACTTCCAGGCTCACCCGATCCAGGTCCTCACTCACCAACCCCTCGGCGCCTTGATGAGGAGCCCCACTAGCTCCTCCCGAATGGTAAAATGGGTTGTCTTCTTGAGCCAATACAACATCGACATCCATCCTAGACCCGCCATCAAGGGCCAAGCCCTAGCGGACTTCGTGACGGAGTGCACGACAAGGGCAGCCACGGACGGGGAGCCCTCGGCCCCTTCGGATGACTGGTGGACCCTCTACACCGACGGCTCCTCCACCATCAAGGCATGCGGAGGAGGGGTGGTTCTCATCTCACCCGAGGGCTTCCGGGCCTATTATGTAGTCTGTTTCTCCTTCAAAGTCTCCAACAATGAAGCCGAATACGAGGCCCTCCTCTGTGGCCTCCGGCTGGCAGCTAACATAAAGGCCTGACAAATCCACGTCAAGTGCGACTCCAAGTTAGTCGTCGGCCAAATCTCCGGGGAGTACGAAGCCAAGGAAGGGAGAACGAAGCAATACAAGGAGGCGGCCAAGGAGTTGCTTAAGGTATTTGAGGGACACTCTCTTACTCAAATACCGAGGGCTCAAAACTCCGAGGCCGACATTTTATCAAAGCTCTCGGCAGAATCCCCTGAGCATATCTCCAAGATTGCCAAAGTAGAAGAACTCAGCCTCTCTAGCATACATGCTAGCCCCGTCATGGATATACAACAAAGACAGGAGGACTGGATCTCGGATATTGTTGCCTTCATCACCACAGGGCAACTGCCCGAGGATGAGACCCGCGCCAAGCTGGCAAAGATGAGGGCTCCCAGCTACACTATCGAGGACGGGAGGCTTTACAAAAGGTCCTACAATGGGACGTTGCTTCGGTGCCTTCATCAAGATGAAGCTGAAGTAGCAATGGAGGAAGTACACAGTGGCACTTGCTCATCTCACCAGGGACCCTTCTCCATGTCCCGAAGGCTAGTGATCCAGGGCTACTTCTGGCCTACGATGGCCCGGGATTGTGCAGATCTTGCCCGGAGGTGTCCCGCGTGCCAACACTTCCAGAAAGCCCCCGGCAGGCCAGCGGTCAACTATGCCCCCATCAGCACATCCATACCCTTCGCTCGATGGGGCATAGAGCTTGTGGGCCCTCTGCGGAGGGGTACCTCCAACAATAGATACATCATCGTCGCCATCGATTACTTCACCAAATGGGTGGAAGCTGAGCCCCTCGCCAGCATCACTGAGGCCAGGTGCCGTCATTTTGTTCTCAAAAACATTCTCACCAGGTTTGGCGTCCCTCAGCAAATCATCTCCGACAATGGGACTCAGTTTGAGGCAGCCCCCTTCTGTGCCCTCCTAGAGGCATGGGGCATCAAACACACCTTCTCATTCGTTGCTTACCCTCAGGGCAACGGTCAAGTGGAGAACGTCAACAGGACCTTGCTCGAAGGCCTAAAAAAGAAGTTGGAGGCCGAAGGGGGTGGTTGGGTAGAAGAACTCCACAACATCTTATGGGTCTACCGTACCACCCCTCGGCGGGCAACTGGCGAGACACCCTTCTCCCTTTGCTACGGATTTGAAGCCAAGGCCCCCACCGAGGTAACTCTTCCAACCCGAAGGGTCACACAGTATGATCCGGAGGCCAACGACGCCAATATGGCCCTCGACCTCCACCTGATTTCAGAACGCCGAGAGCAGACCTTCATACGCGCGGAAAACTACCGAAGGCAAGTAAAAAGTTACATTGACGCCAAGGTTCGCTCCCGGGAATTCCAAGTGGGGGACTATGTTCTCCGAAGAAGGGAAGCTAGCCAACCAACCGAGGGTGGAAAGATGGCACCAAAGTTCGAGGGCCCCTACATCGTGGCAGCCATCATCAAATCCGGAACTTACAAGCTAAAACGCCCTAACGGGACTGAAGTCCCTAGGCACTGGAATGTACATCACCTAGTTAAATTTTATCAATAACATCAGAGCGGCCAAGCCCTCATAACTAGTGAATGTATTATTTTATGGCCCAAGGCCTAAGAATTCTGAAGAATGAAGGCATTTTGAAGACACCGAGAACACGGAACAAGATTATCACAGGGGCCAAGCCCTCATACCACCCCCAGGCCCAAGGCCTCACCACCATAGAAGAACTCTCGGCACCAAGTGCCGAGGGTAGACAATATTATCACCTACGACAAAGCACCACCTGTCCCCAAAAAAGAAACCCCTCGGCACCTGGTGCCGGGGGGCACGCCACTAGCAGTTTTCAACAAATAAGAAGAAACACCAAGTGTTTCCGCAGAAGACCCTTCGGTACCAAGTACCGAGGGTAGATAACATAATCCCCTTCAATAATCGGGGAGAAACACCAAGTGTTTCCACAGAAGACCCCTCGGTACCAAGTACCGAGGGTAGACGACACAATCACCTCCTCCAACAAGTAGGAAGAAACACCAAGTGTTCCCACAGAAGACCCCTCGGTACCAAGTACCGAGGGTAGACACCACAGTCCCCTGCGACAAGTGAAGAAAAAACACCAACTATTTTTACAGAAGACCCCTCGGTACCAAGTACCGGGGGCCGTACATCGGAACAAACACCAAGTGTTGTTTCTTAAGCCGTACCCCTCGAGGACGCCTATACCGAAGGCGCCACCTCTCGGTGCCGGCAGCACGTAGTGCACCCGGCCATTTGCAACCAGTGTGCAAATGAAAACCCTTCCCTGAAACGCTTTCCGCGTCATCACCCCAAAGGTATGACAGGCATGAGAAATGCCCAGGATTCGACTTTCAAAAACGGAATGCTTTCCGCGTCATCACCCCAAGGGTATGACAGGCACGAGAAATGCCCATGATTCGACTTCCAAACCGAAACGCTCCCCGCGCCACCACCCCAAAGGTGTGGCAGGCCACGGACTATGTCTAGCGCCGAGGGGACGACTTTCAAAACTGAGGCGCTTTCCGCGCCATCCCCCAAGGGGAGGCAGGCTCCAGACCACCATATCTTGTGCCCAGGAAACGACCCTCGATCCCCTCGGAACTCGGAAGGTTAACCCGAGGGGGGAGCTAATGGTGTATTCTGTTACCTCCCGATAGGCCAAACCTTACCAAGAAACCAAGTTTCTTGAAGCCTTCCCTTCACTACTCAAAAAAAAAAAAAACAACATCCAAGCCTTAGTCCCAAAAGATATTGGGGTCGGCTAACATGAATCGATACATGATATCACAACCAAAAGGAAAAGAAGGAATAAAGATAAAAAGATAAGCTATTATGAAAAGATAATATAAAAAAGATGAATATATATAAAAATGATAAAATAAAAAGGCTGCAAATAATGCATATATATATATAAGGAAAAAAAGATGAGGGGAAAAGATTATCAAGATCACTCCTTCACGTGAATACCCGCCCTCCACTTAGTTCTCTCCAAAGTCATGCCCTCATCCAACCCCAGAAGAAGCATATCACTTCGAACTCCCCTAACCCACGTCTGTTTGGGTCTTCCTCTCCCTCTCTTCCCTGCCTCTTCTCCACACATCTCAACTCGCCTAACAGGTGCATCACTCGGTCTTCTACGCACATGACCAAACCACCGTAGGCGCGACTCCCGCATCTTGTCTTCAATAGGTGCTACTCCCACCCTTTGTCTGATTGTCTCATTCCTCATGCGCTCCTTCCTAGTATGCCCACACATCCAACGCAGCATGCGCATCTCTGCCACACTCATCTTTTGAATGTGACATTGTTTCACCGCCCAACACTCTACGCCATACAGTAATGCAGGCCTAATTGATGTCCTATAAAATTTACCCTTCAGTCTAGTCGGCATACCTCGGTCGCATAGAAATTCTGACGCACTCTTCCACTTCATCCACCCTGTTCTGATTCTATGGGATACATCTCCATCTAACTCACCGTCCTTCTGAATTATGGAGCCCAAGTAACGGAACATATCGCTGACTGGTATCTCCTTACCATCCAGAGTAATTCCACTATTACCACTACTTCTACCTCCACCAAACTTGCACTCCATGTACTCTGTCTTGCTCCGACTTAGTTTGAAACCCTTATTCTCCAATGTTTGTCGCCATACTTCCAACTTTGCTTTAAGACCTGATTGCGTCTCATCAATCAATACAATATCGTCGGCAAACATCATGCACCACGGTATATCGTCTTGAATTGAAGGGGAGTAGACTCGGCGAGAAATCAATGAGTACATCACTCCAACAATTTACAAAAACATACCGAGGGCTCCCCACGGGAACACCTTCGGTACCTTGGAAGTTCACAAGTACAAAGGATACCATTCACAACAGACATCATCAACGAATGGCTAAGTCCACTCAAGGATTGCCTCCGGCTATTCTAAGTCCTGACTATTCCTGGGCCCTCGGTCATGCGTCCAATCAGCGAGGGGTATCCACGTACCGAAGGCTACACAATATCCAAACACTTAGAGATTTTCTAAGTCCTAAATATCTCGCCTCCGGTCATCTCATGAAGGCTACATAGAACCGGAGGGAAGGATCAGTCGGGGGCCAACAGATGAACAAACACTTAGAAATATTTCTAAGTCCTGAACATTGTGCCCTCGGTGAAAGGTTCAACTGACTAAAGATTACTGGTAGCCGAGGGCTACAAGAAGCACTACACTTGGAAGAATATATTCTAAGTCCTAAACATACATTCAGAAGGGCGAAGGCATACATTCAGAAGGGCGAAGGCATACATTCAAAAGAAAACGACGGCATACATTCGAGAAGAAATGAAATAAAGAGGACAAGTCATATACACAAAGCCCGAAGGCAATCATTCATTCGTCAAAAAGAGGAAATTCAGATGTATGTATTACAATGTGGCCGAGGCCGAGAGTACACGAATATTACAAACAAGAAGGAAAAGTGTTTAAAAAGCTATTCAACTACAAGTGTTTTCTTCAAGCTGCTGCCTCCTTGGCGGGCTTCGAGGTGACCTCCTCCCCGATGGCGTCCTCGGTATCACCATCGCCGGATCCCCCCATCATCATGGAGTCATGGATCACAAGCCTCTCTTCGCCCGGGGGGAGGGGGTTTCTCACATCCGGCTGCAAAGCAGGAAGGCCGTAAGCCGAGGGGTCGAATTCCTCGAAAGGGACTATGAAGTGCCTGGCGAGCCTCCGATACACCAGATGCTGGGTGAAGAACTCGCCCCCTGGTAATAGCTGTCTCCCCTTTCTGCCATCCCGTCGGCTCCGGGGCCCTTCACTCAGTCATCAACCGAAGACTCCACGACCGAGGCCACCCACTGCCGCCTGTCTTCGGTTTTCCAGCCCTCGGCCACGAAGGCGGCAACAGCTTCTTCCCGAGCTTTGGCGACGGCCTCGGCCTTAGCAATCTCCGCCTCCTCGGCAGCTTTCTTGGCTGCCCTCTCGGCCTCAAGCCTGGCTTACTCCGCTGCAGCTTTGCCCTCGGCAGCCTTCCGGAGATCTTCCTCCAGCATGGCCATCTGCTTTACGGCCTCGGAGTTCTTCAGGATGAGCTCTTTCATCTCCCTGTCCTGCTCCGCCTTCCGGAGGCGCCATTGCTCAAGCCTCTGTGCGTGCTCCTCGAGGGCTACGCAAGCCTGATAAACAAGAGAGGAGGGGTCAGATTAACATGAAAAGAGCATTGAAAGTTAAACGCAAAACCTAAGGGAGCAAACTTACGGTTAATGAAGACCGAAAGATCATGTTCTCGAGGGCCTCGTCATCATATGTGGAGAGGGCAGCCTTGTCCATCACCGAGGTCATCCCCCTCAGAAAAGCTTTCGGCTCCGCTGAGCCGTGTAGGACAGAAGCCCCCGGGGCCAAAGAGAGCTGCAGGATCTCCCGAGGGGGGCTTCTCAGGGGAGGATTGGTTTGGGCTGTCGCCGCAGCATCAACAGGGGGTCCGGAGAGGGGCGATGCTCAATGATCACCAAGGGGGCATCCTGGCCGACAGTGCCCCCTGTGCCCCTCTGTTTCTTAGCCGGGGGCTCAACCGCCTTGCTCCCCTTTTTCTTTTTTGTGGCCCCCTCCGCCACACCGACGACTCCCTCCGCAGCAGAGGGCTCCGGAGCCTCTTTTTGGAAGAAGGCTCCCACAGGCGGTTGGACCGAAGGGTCCTTCTTCTGGGCTTGGGTCTTGCCCTTCTTCTTCTTCAGAGCAAAGAGTTTGCCAACATCCATGTTAACACCTGCCAACAAAAACAAAGGGGTTAGACCGAAGGAGAAAAGAGCAAAAAAAAAGGGGGGGGGGGGGGGGGGGGGAATCCTAAGTGCAAAAAAGGAAGCCCTCGGAGATTACCTCCTGCCAGCACAGGATACTTCTCGTCTGTTTCGCCGAGGAAGCGGTATCTGCGGAAGCCGAGGGCGAATAGCTCCTTGTCAGCTGTGAAGTCGTTAATGGACACTTGCTTCGTGCGACCCTCCGGGATCTTGGCTATTATCAAGTCGTCCTTCTCCAAAGCAGCACTTCCGACCTTCGGATGCCGACGGAAGCGATCCATAGGTTCCATCGGAAAGGGGCTCTCGGCAATCCTAACGTAGCACCACCGCTCCTTCCAGCCTTTGTTGGACGAGGGCGCTTCTGTGAATAGTTTCCACCGAGCCACCTGTTGCAGATTGGCGAAGCCCTCGGCGTTCGCGTGACCCCCGCGGCAGAGATTGAAGCTCTGGAAAAATAAGTCCAGGCTAGGGGTCACCCCTCGGGCTCGGCAGAGGTTCAGAAAGCCCGCCACATAGGAGTGGTTGTTGGGCGTCAACTGGCAGGGGACCAAGCCCACATTCCGGAGATACTCCCGAAGGAATGGGTGCAGGGGGAACCGGAGCCCCATTGACACCGACAGGATGTGCACGGCAATGCAACCCTCGGGGGCCCGGGAAAGCACATCATAAGGGCCCGGCGCCACCACCACAGCCGAAGGCCCCACGTGCAGCTGGGTAACGTACATGTCTTCCCTATCAGCCTTCGACCCTATCTCCAGGGCAGCAGTATTTAGCCAGGAGTACCCCTCGGGCACATCTATGGGCTTCCCCTGATCAGCAGCAACACTTTTCTTCTTAGGAGCAGTTTTCTTCTTCTCCTGTATTTTCCCGGGGGCCACTCTTATCGGCGTCGGGTTGAGGGGCCGAGAGCTCCCTGCTTCCCTATCACCTTCATCCTCTCCTTTTCTTCTTCCTCCTCTGCAACTTGTACGGCGAGGGCAAGCTCTTCATCCTCCGCCTCCTGCTCGAAGCCCTCGGCTTCAACTTCAGCCATCAATTCCTTCTGCACCTCCATCGCCATCGCGACATCCTCTTGGGCCAAGGGCTGCTCACTTGAGGACCCCGCGTCCGAGAAGCTCTCCTCTTCCATCGAGGGATCCCTCGATATGTCCTGGGAATCGCTTTGAGAGGACATCTTTCCACTGGTTCGAGGGCTCGAAAACACTAAGTGTTTTAGGTTACAGTCCTAGATCTAAGGCCGCTATAACTAGCTAAGGAGGGAGAAGAACAGATGGGGAACTAACCTTAGGGAAGGGATTGATCGAGGGCTGCAGTTTCTCTCTCTAGAAATTTTAGCAGAGCTTCGCTACAATGATTTCGCACAAAGAGGAGTGAAGCCGGCCATGGGGTATTTATAGGCGCTGGGATCCGGGCTTGGACCTGGAAACCGGGCCTCCGGTTGGATTGCCATCATTACGAACCGTGGTTTCGCCCAATCGGTGACGCCCGCCCACGGGCAGCCAACGAGCACACACCACGTGGCAACCCCCCCCCAACGGCTATATTCTGACGATAGATATTCCAACGGCTATATTTCCAACGGCTATATTCTGGGAGCCCCGGGCTTTTTGCTTACTCCACTTCATCAAGAAGAGCCCCCGGATACACTTACCCGGAGACACTCCCGGTTTGTGCCCCACACACTACATATCAGATGCCTTCGGGATCACTCCTTCAGAAGCCCAAGGCTTCATATCGGGCCACCCCTCGGGGATCCCCCCTCAGCACATTGAGGGCCGGGGTAGCCCCCGGGGAGTATGCCTCATTGACGGATAGCCTACGGCACACATGTAATGGGAGCCCTCAGATATCCTCATCACCAACTAATCAACAAACAGGGGACCCCCCGGTAACAATTCAACTACTACCCGCATTCATTACGCCTTCGATCCCCAGATTGAGGGACTCCCCTTCGACGCCTCCCTGGGTATCAAAAGCAAGCCTCCGGCTAATCAACAAATGAGCCCTCAGAACGGGGAAAGCCTTCGGCATCATCATTATTCTCCATTTTGAACCAAGATTTCACATTTTCGATTAATCGTTGGGGGAATTCGGTGCACTCTTTTTCCCTCATTAGGATTTTTTCCCACAGGGTTTTTCCTAATGAGGTTTTTAACGAGGCATCCCCCCAAAATGAAACGAAAAGCGTCAGCCTTCGGCCCACAACAGCAACACAACTACTCTACTCCTTTTCACCACTTTGCAAGTGCCTCAAGGAGTGGGGGACTGGAGGACCCCCTCGGGAAAAATCACAAAAATCACAAACATGACCCCTCAAGTCCCGACATGTGGGTAACTGAGGGACTGCCCTCGGCAGAATAAACAAACAGCAAACTACCCACAACTTTACAAACTACAAACGAAACAACGGCAGAGGACAAGCACAATTACTCCTTTTCCCTCAAGTACCTTTCGGCAAAAGGAGTGAGGGACTCCTGATGGAGTATATGGTCCGGGAACCCCCGGCCCACAGACTCCTACTACTCCAATAAAGGCTCAACAGGCCCAGAAAGCACAACAGGCCCAAATCACAGTGCCCAGAGTACCAAGCAGCCCACAATGCGCACCAGGGGTGCCCTCGGCCCCCTGGCCGAAGGCTCTAACTCTCATAGGAGGGCCAAGACAGGAAAACAAGGTTATTTGGAAAAACGGCGAAAATCAGTAGCTCTCGGCAACTGGAGCCCTCGGCACTAAGGGGTCCCCAGTACTCAGAGCCCTCGGCTAGTCATCTACTGCCGAGGGCGCCTCTTCCGACACAATATCCGCTCCACATGCGTACAGATCACCGTACCCTGTACAACGTCCCATCCAACAGCCGCATTAAAGACGGCCACATGCGGTTGCCGGCGCCAACCAGTTGAGGTGACCCCTCGGCCAATGAACGCTTGACACGTGTCCCTGTCCGGCATTTATTGCTACTATAAATAGCACCCCATTTCTCCATTTGTAACCAAGACAATACACACGCTGCAGACTTGCTAATATATTTTCTCTCTCTTCTTACTTGCTCTGACTTCTCTCTTATTATTCCCCGTGATAACCCCTCGGATAAGCTACCCCCGGGTACACTATCCATCACACTTTTAACACACTTTTTCCAACCATTAAAAACAGACAAATTATCATGAGTAGGAATGTCTCCTTTCAATTTATTGTCTCCTGATTTACTCTGTTTTTATTGAACAAAAGATATGGGATACTAATACACTTCTCTCTGATTTGACACGAGGGGAATTACCAAAACGGAGATATTCCTAATTAGGCAATGATTAATAATATTTACAAAACAATTAAACAAACTTACTTACAATTGACATTTGTTAATTAACTACTTAATTCATTAGTTACACACTAATTAGTGTATTAACATTCAAGGTAAAAGTAGGTATAAACTAATGGCTTTTCCAAAAACAGAACTAGTATGTGGCTATCATATTCTTCCTTAATAAATAAACTACGGGGTTCGCAAATAAATCACTATCTATATGTAGCCGTGATTTTATAATATTCAATTTGTATTTGTTAAAACCTGTAATGAATAAACTTTTCAAATATTTGTTAAAATCAATTTACAGATCAAGAGCTTGGCTTACACAATCTTGTCAAGAATACGAAATTTTTACAAGGAGACTATTGCTCAAACGCCTCAAATTCAATAGACCAAAGAAATTTCAGCAAGCAAACAAATAATGAGTAAAGTAGCAAGAAATTTACCTCCGCTTCGTCGCTTAGAAGAGATCGAAATCTCAAACCTTCTTCTCTGATTCCCCTTCTTCCGCCAATAACTCGAAATTCTTTGGAAAACGACAGAGCAACAGTTGTTGTTGGCGTATACTTAGGTTTAGCCACAGAAAGGTGAGAACAGGGTGTGACTTTCTGAGACGTGTATTGTGAGGGCTTAGTGGGGAGTTATTTACGGATGTATTTTCAAATCTTATTTCCCAAACTAAAATCTTATTTCTCAAATTAAGGTACTTTTAAACTTATTTCCCATATAGGAGTATTTTTTCCTTGTCATCACGCCATGTCAGCACCAAAGTTAATTTCCATTTCCACGTCATTAAACCCCACATCATGTGGAATATTATGAGAATCGATCCCACAACCATGCATGTGGAATATTATGTCCAAGATCGCTGCACTACACCTAACACTTGTGATATTGTAGTAGTCAAGTCTTCTTTAATTCATATGGTTCCATGCATGTTTAATTAAAACTGCAGCCTCCTCCATATTATTATATTAAATTATTAGTATTAGTATTTTTGTTGTTGTTGTTGTTATTTTTATCATTATTATTATTGTTGTTGTTGTTGTTGTTATTATTATTATTATTGTTATTATTATTAGTATTATTATTGTTACTATTATTATAGTAATGATAGTAATAGTAATCATAATCATAATCATAATCATAATCATAATCATAATCATAATCATAATCATAATCATAATCATAATCATAATCATAATCATAATTGATGGATTATAGGTATCCAAGTATATGTATAATGGAAGAGATTTGAGCTAAAGATAGTGAAGAAGATGAATGAATAGTAGAATGTGAATGAGTAATTATGTTCTAGGGTTACAAATGGCTCCAAGAGGAGTATAAATAGGGAAATAATGGCCCGGGCCGCTAATATGGGTCCGGTAGCCCAACTACATAAAAGACTAATCTAGTACATAGTTACATACAAATGACATATAAGCAGTACAATAATACAAATGATATCCGTAAGATGTGTGTGGGCCGCTGTCCGGGCCCAATAGTCGTGAGACCCGGGGGTCCGAGTCTATATACTCTATCAGGAGTCCCCCACTCTCTGAGTCGAGAGTATTCGAGGCGAAAGAGAGTAGAACTGTGTGCTGATCTGTCGTCGTCTGGTGAGTAAACTTCATGAACAAAAATTTGAATTTCTGCTTCTTTGGTTAACGGAGGCGCTAAGTCCCCCGCTCTTCCAGTCCCCCACTCCTTGAGGCGAGTGTAATGAGGTGAAGAGGAGTAGAGTAATGCGTGTCGGATGATGTCTTCAACAGGGGGCCGAGGGTTGACACCTTTTGATCCACGATGGGGAGATGCCTCGTTAAAAACCTCATTAGGAAAAACCCTGTGGGAAAAAATCCTAATGAGGGAAAAAGAGTACACCGGATGCCCCCAAAATGAAACAAAAGGTGCGAGCCCTTCGGCCTGGAGATGGAGCTGCAGTGGTGCCCATCTGCTGGATGGTCGAGGCCGATCTCTAGATGTGGGTAGCTCATCATGATCAGTAGTCCTAGTCATCAAATAAAGATGACTAAGGGATGGGTCGAGCGACCGTCCACAATATGATGTCTGGTTCATCAAATAAAGATGACCAGAACGTAAGGCCGATGGGCCGAGAGGCCTATACGAGAGCTCCACGTTGTCGCATAAGGACGACGAGGTGATGTATGGCCGAGGGACCTGCATAGAGCTCCACGTCGTCAAATAAAGACGATTGGGCGATGTGTGCGGCCGAGGGGCCTGCATAAGAGCTCCACGTCGTCAAATAAAGACGACGAGGCGATGGTATGGCCGAGGAGCCTGCATAAGAGCTCCAAGTCGTCAAATAAAGACGATGGGGCGATGGTGCAGCCAAGGGGCCTGCATAAGAGCTCCACGTCATCAAATAAAGACGATGGGGTGATGGTGCGGCCGAGGGGCCTGCATAAGAGCTCCACATCGTCAAATAAAGACGACGGGGCGATGGTGCGGCCGAGGGGCCTGCATAAGAGCTCCACGTCATCGAATAAAGATGACGGGGCGACGTATGGCCGAGAGGCCTACATGAGAGCCCCACATCATCAAATAAAGATGACGGGGTGATGTATGGCCGAGAGAGGCCTATATGAGAGCTCCACGTCATCAAATAAAGATGACGGGGCGACGTATGGCCGAGAGGCCTACATGAGAGCCCCACATCATCAAATAAAGATGACGGGGTGATTTATGGCCGAGAGAGGCCTATATGAGAGCTCCACGTCATCAAATAAAGATGACGGGGCGACGTATGGCCGAGAGGCCTACATGAGAGCCCCACATCATCAAATAAAGATGACGGGGTGATGTATGGCTCAGAGGCCTATATGCGAGCGCCATGTCATCAAATAAAGATGACGGAGCGAGATATGGCCGATGGGCCTGTAAATGAGCTTCGCGTCATCAAATAAAGATGACGAGGCGATATATGCCCGATGGGCCTGCAACTGAGCTTCGCGTCATCAAATAAAGATGACGGAGCAAGATGTGGCTCAGAGGCCTACAAATGAGTTCCTCGTCATCAAATAAAGATGACAGAACGATATATGGCCGATGGTCCTGTAGATGACCTATTCGTCATTAAATAAAGATGACAGAGCGATATATGGCCGATGGGCCTACAAATGAGCTCTTCATCATCAAATAAAGATGACAGAGCGATATATGGCCGATGGGCCTGGAAATGAGTTTTGCGTCATCAAATAAAGATGACGGAGCGATATATGGTTGAACTCTGGGTTCCTTTAGCCTTTCGGCCGGAGACCGCAAGATGTTCGCTATATCTGAATAGGGGGACGAGGCGGTGGACGCCTGTCTGAATACGAGGACGACGACGCTGATGAGTCGGTCCGAATATGAGGACGACAGCGCTGACGAACCATTCCGAATATGGGGACGATGGCGCTGGTGAGCCGGTCCGAATATGGGGACGAGGCGATGATAAGCCATGCGTCATATGAAGGCGACGGTCACCATCCAGGAAGGGAATGGCGAGCCTGGTCGCTAGATAAGGACTTCGGCGCTGGGGGCCGGTCTAAATGTGAGGACGAGGCGATGATGAGCCGTGCATCATATAGGGGCGACGGTCACCATCCAGGAAGGGAATGGCGAGCCTAATCGCTATAACAAGACTTCGGCGCTGGGAGCCGGTCTTGAGATAAATAATCACGTCGCGGCCGAGAGGCTGATCGCGATGTGCGGATGACAATGATGAGGAGCCAGTCCGAAATATGATGACGAGTCGATGATGGAGCCGATCGTCATATAGAGGCGATAGTCACCATCCAGGAGGGGATGTCGAGCCTGATCGCTAGCCCAACAGACTCGGCGCTGATGAAGCCGGTGTTGGGATAGGGTGTGACGTCGTGGCCGAGGGGCCGATCGTGATGCGAGGTCGTCAGCACTATGAGGCTGATCCAAAAGTCAAAGCAGTGGTCGCCATCCGATGAAGGAATGACTGAGACTGGTCTTGGGGATAGATAATCACGCCAAGGCCGAGGGGCCGATCGTGATGTGCGGACGGAGATGATGAGCCGATCTGATGATATGATGACGAGGCAAGAATGAAGTCAATCATCATATAAGGGCGATGGTCACCATCCAGGAAGGGATGGCGAGCCCGATCGCTAGATCAAGACTCTCGGCGCTGAGGAAGCCGGTCTTGAGATAGATAGTCACGCCGAGGCCGAGGGGCCGATCGTGATGCGCGGATGGTGATGAAAAGAGCCAATCCGAAATATGATGACGGGGCAATGATGATCCGGCCGTCATATAGAGGCGATGGTCACCATCCAGGAAGGGATGGTGAGCCCAGTCGCTAGCTTAAGATCGCGTTGAGACCGAGGGGTTTGCCGCGATGTGAGCATGACGGCGATGATGAGCTGTTCCAATAAATGATGACGAGGCCATGATGGGCCAATCGTCATATAAAGGCGACGGTCACCATCCAGGAAGGGATGGTGAGCCCGATCGCCAGGTCAAGACTCTCGACGCTGAGGAAGCCGGTCTTGAGATAGATAATCACGCCGAGGCCGAGGGGCTGGGCATGATGTGAGGACGACGGCGATGAGGGGCCGGTCCAAAAATCCATGCAACGGTCGTCATTCGGTAAAGGAATGACTAAGACCGGTCTCGAAATAAATAATCACGTCGAGGCCGAGGGGCCGGTCGTGATATGAGGACGAAGGCACTGAGGGGCCGGTCCGAAGATCCATGCAACGGTCGCCATCCGGGAAGGGATGACTAAGACCGGTCTCGAGATAATTAATCACGTCGAGGCCGAGGGGGCCGGTCGTGATATGAGGACGAAGGCACTGAGGGGCCGGTCCGAAGATCCATGCAACGGTCGCCATCCGGGAAGGTATGACTAAGACCGATCTCGAGATAAATAATCACGTCGAGGCCGAGGGGGTCGATCGTGATATGAGGACGACGACGATGAGGAGTCGGTCCAAATAATGATGTCGAGGCGATCGTGAAGCCGATCGTCATATAGAGGCGATGGTCACCATCCGGGAAGGGATGATGAGCCCGATCGCCAGCTCAAGACTCTCGGCGCTGAGGAAGTCGGTCTTGAGATAGATAATCACGCCGAGGCCGAGGGGCCGGGCATGATGTGAGGACAACGGCGATGAGGAGCCGGTCCTATAATATGATGACGAGGCGCTGATGAAGCTGATCGTCATATAAAGGCGATGGTCACCATCCAGGAAGGGATGGTGAGCCCGATCGCTGGCTCAAGACTCGCGGCACTGAGGAAGCCGGTCTTGAGATAGATGATCACGCCGAAGCCGAGGGGACGGTCGTGATGTGAGGACAACGACGATGAGGAGTCGGTCCAAATAATGATGACGAGGCGATGGTGAAGCCGATCGTCATATAGAGGCGATGGTCACCATCCGGGAAGGGATGATGAGCCCGATCGCCAGCTCAAGACTCTCGGCGCTGAGGAAGCCGGTCTTGAGATAGATAATCACGCCGAGGCCGAGGGGCCGGGCATGATGTGAGGACAACGGCGATGAGGAGCCGGTCCTATAATATGATGACGAGGCGCTGATGAAGCTGATCGTCATATAAAGGCGATGGTCACCATCCAGGAA